TTTGGGCAGGCTTCTTTAGTGACAGCTCCTTGATAATAAAGAAATTTGCCTCAATGATACCCCTACTAGTAATCTCAATAACATTCGATTCCTTTCAAGGCATTTTATCAGGTTAATCTAAAGTTTGAAAAACCCAATTTGAGCTTATATTCATCTACAAATAGTAGTTGAAATTTAATTTCAGAAGGCCAATGAGTGAATTTGGTGTTGCAGAGGTGGCCAAAGGATGTGGTTGGCAGCACTTAGCTGTGTGGGCTAATTTGTGGACTTTCTATTTATAGGCATGCCTCCTTGGATTTATGCTTAAGCTATATGATAAGGTGAAACATATATAATCTTTTTCAGCTAAATTCATTCCAATGTTTCTTCTCTTTTCTTCCCCATGTTATTTCTTTCCATGATTTTTTTCTTTGGTTGCTTCAGGGTTTGTGGATAGGCTTACCATGCGGCCTCTCTTGCCAAGCCAGTGCTCTCCTATCAATTACATTGTTTAGAAAATGGGCTAAGATTGATCATTCAATAGAAAGAGAGTAAGGAAGCCTTGGTATTTGTTTGACTAAATTCTATCTGGGAAACCTAAAATAAAACCGAGTAAATTTATAGAGCTTGAGTCTGAAGAATCTAAAGTTATTGAAGCAATTTCATTCCTTGTTTCTTGAATGTTATCCCTTAGTTCAATGTATCTATGGTTTTGGCTGTGTAACAATGTGACAGACTTCAATTAGCTTTGCAAATCTATCTTTAAATATGCAATATTCATGAAGGAACATTTTGTGATTTAATTTACAATAAAAACAATGTTGTTGAACATATTAGTGGAGCAGAAGTTTTAAGAGTAAAAACAGATGAATTTACAATGTCTTTGTGCTCAAAGAAATGTAAAGTATCTATAAAATGAAATCGTTAATGTAACAAAATCTCACCACAAAAATAATTATATGGTATTGTATTAATTAACCTAATAGATTTCAGATTTTTTTCCCAAGTTAATCCATACGCTTACAGGTAATTTTCCTGTGTCATGATTTTTTCCTCTCAAATTAATTCCATCATTACGTTTGAATTCAAAATGTAACTACTCCAATTTTACAACGAGAATTTGTAAAAATTTGTTATGATATATATGTAGAAACTTGAACCTACACTTAGAAGACATCTTTTGTGTATAAAATTGTGTAATCTTTTAAGTCAAAACGAACAATACCTCAACTTCTCATAAGTGAGTATGGACTTTCACTTAAATGCATCTTTTTCAATACAAGTGAGGAGATCATGACCAAAGAGAGGAGGTCACTTGAAACCTTGTCTTGTAAACGATAATCACAGCCAATAAATTTACAGCAAATTATGCACACCTTAGTTAAAAATATAAATATACAACAACTAAATTGATCATTATAAGAAAAATGAGAAAGAAAAGATAATAAACATAAGAGAAAGATTAAGCTTCAGCTTGGCATATAGCTTTGATGCAAACCCAAGAAGGCTTGCAATTGGCATAACTTAATTACTCACTAGTTTAATAGATTATTCTATACATGATAAATAAATTTGAAAATTTTCATGCTATATGTTAATTGCATGTTTGATTTAATTTGTTATTAACTTAACTGATAATAATACTAATATTGTGCCATTCATAGTTAAATAGACAAAAGTATATAAACGTTTTTTTTAACTCCATTATTAACGTACAGAATAATAATCGTTTGTAAAAGTTTATCTTAATTTCCGTAGGGATCGAAGGGTATCTAGCTAGAGAAAAGAAAATAGACAATTATACCATAAGGTGAAGACAGGGATGTCAAGACAAACAAGGTTAGACAGTGTTCCACTCTTCTCAGAGTCTAGCCATGCAGAAGAAAGGAGAAGAAATTAATGAAAGAAGTTGTTGGAGTAAAGCTTTGGACCTTGAAAAAGGCAAGAATCGGATTTACTTTTCGCTTCCTATGATCATAACTAGTGTTTTTTATTACTTCATCGCTTTGGTGTCTTGGAGACCGCAGAGCTCGCCAGCGCCACCCTTGCAAATTCTTGGGCCACGTTCACTGGCTTCGCTCTCATGGTAACTTTTTCCCTCTTATATCTGTGACTATTATGAATTGTCTTGTTATATTTAGTTTCAATATGTTCTTTTTCAAGAAGACGTGCCGTTCTAGTCTTCTTGGCGTTTGTTTTGTTTCACTTTGATTTTATCTTTGTACTGACCTAGTTAGGCTAGAAAAAGCGCGCTCCTAGGGTACTTAACAATTAGGTGAACAATTATAATTATTAAGGGAAGTGGTAAAGTAGGTGAGGAATAATATTGTTTGAACAGTTCGTGTCTAAGGCGTTAAAGGGTGGTTTTTGTGATAAAAAGAGAAAACATTGTAAATAAGTAAAAGAGAGAAAAATCAAAGTACTCAATGTTGTGAAAGGAAGAAGAGAATAAGTAGAGAATTAGAGAGTGGAAAAAAGTTAAAGAGAGAAGCCTTGAGCGAGGACGAAATAGCTCTTTAGAAAAGTGAAGGTCCCTTTAATGAATTTTGAAAGTTCTATATATAATGCCAGAAATGATGGTTACTTAAGAAAAGACTTCAACACACATAATAAATGTCATTATTTAGAAGAATTTTAATCTTACGTGACCCTTACTAAGCTTTAATGTCAACTAACGATTTAAAACTTATTATGTGATCGTTGAAATAATTGGATGTAATAAGATTTGTTCTCAAATAAAAGATAACAAAGAAGAGGTACACAAGAAAAGCTATACAAAAACAAGTTAAGAGAAAATGATATATATGAATAGGTGCAAGAAAACAAAGTAAGATGAGAAAATACCTATACTTCAAGGAAAGGTTAAGCAGAGGATCTTCTAACTACTTTCATATTTGAGCCACCAAACTAAACTCTCCGGAATATCTCAAAATGAAAATAACCTATGAACCTGCTATTTATTGTGAGTTGCTTTCACTGCTACGTATGTGAAGTAGTTATTCTGTGTGATATAGTTTTTCCACTTGTATTAACTGTTTCACATAAGAAAATGCTCTACTTGCTCCAATTGTTTTACGTGAAGCAATGCTTCACTTGTTTTAATTGTTCTGTGTGAAGTAGTACTTCATGTATTCTATTTGTTCTGCTTTAAGTAATACTTCACTTGTTCTAGTTGTTCTCATTATTTTCTATATAGCATTAAGTTGTAAAACAATTCTTAAAAAAATAATAATAATAAATTAGTAGCCAAAATCAACTATCTACCAAAGGGATAAAAGACCTAAAATTTATCCTTTTAAAAAGATTATATTATGTACATAGGCCACCATTATAATTTTGTCTCTCTTTTCTCAACTTCAGACAATTTAGCTCAACGTAATTTTTTTTTTGAAAATTACACAACCTAATTATTAATAGTGTTCTAGTATTATAACTTTTGCTTGAGTTATTGAAGCAATTTCATTCCTTGTTCCTTGAATGTTCTCCCTTAATTCAGTAGATGTATGGTTGGGTTGGATAACAAATAGTGGAGTAGAAATTTGTATGAATTTATGCCCAATGAAATGTATAACAAAATGTCACTACAATTGTTATATGGTTGGCACCTAGTGTCAGGAACCACACTAAGTCAAGTATTATATGCTTTGATCCATTGACCTACAAAAGATGCCTCACAAGTTAAGGTGGTATTGTTTGCTTTGGCTTGTTGGGTTCATGGTTGCAAGCAGGTTAAAAGGTGGTGTAAATCCTTAAATGTCCAATATCACTCTAGCACATTGTCGCAGCTCTTCTCTAAAACCATGACATCTTCCCTTGGCTCTACTAGTTGAGAGCATATATTCTCTTCAATATGGAATTCACATGACTCTCTTTTAGGACCATGGCATCCTCTCTTGGCTTCCTTATAGCACTACTCGCTAATAGCATATATTCTTCCCTCTAAGGCCGTGACACCTAGCACCTAATGAGATTAGAAACCCACTAAGGCCAAAAATGGCCAAACCAAGTTACTAAAAACTCTTTCTCTTTTGAAAAGAGTATGGAGAAATAAGTACGGCTCGTTCAAGAAAATATTATTTATTTATTCTCAACTTGATGCCTAACACTTATCCATTAGGGCTTTATATAACTATTTATAAGGAAGTAAGTCTTCTTATTTCCCATGTAAGACTACAAATAAACTAAAACTATTATTTTATCTTATAATTCTCATGTATGACCCAAATAATAATAATTTAATAATATACTCTTGTATTAATAGTAGTCTTAATTAACGTCATATATTTCAGAAGTTTTTTTTTTCTAAATTAATCCATACATTTATAGGTAATTTTCGTGTGTCATAATTTTTTCCTCTCAATTAATTCCATTATTACATTTGAATTTAAAATGTAAACACTTCCAATTTTACAATGAAAATTTATAAGAATCTGCTATGATATATAATGTAGAGACTCGAACCTACACTTGAAAGACGTTTTTTGTACAGAAAACTATAAAATCTTTTAAATCCAAATAAACAATACCTCACAAGTTGAGTACAGACCTCCAAACGTAAATGCATCTTCTCTGGTACAAGTGAGGGGTCTATGATCAAAGAGAGGAGGTCACTTGAAGCCCTGTCTTGTAAACGATAATCACAGCCAACAAATTTACAGCAAATTATGCACACTTTAATGACAAAATAGAAATATACAACAAATCATTAAAAGTAAATGCAAAAGAAAATATTATAAACATTAGAAGATTAAGCTTCAGCTTAGCATATAGCATCAATGTAAACCCAAGAAGGCTTGCAATTGGCGTAACTTAATTACTCATTAGTTTAATAGATTATTCTATACAGGATAAATATATTTGCAAATTTTCATTGTATGTTTATATGTTAATTGAATGTTTTATTTAATTTATTATTATGTTAACTGATATAATAATACCAAGATTGTGCCATTTATAGTTAAATAGACACAAGCATATAAAGTTTCTTTAACTCCATTCTCTTTTGATATCTGCAATAAAAACTTCACCTCTTTTGATGTAAAAGTCTATCCCTGTCCACTAGTTCAACTTCCTGCAAATCTATAAAAATCCATGGTGGAAGACACCAGGGTGATTTTATTCTTGCCAACCATTGTTTTATGGTCAAATTCTATCTTAATTTTCGAGAGGGATCGAGGGGTATCTAGCTAGAGAAAAGAATACAAAGACAATTATACCATAAGCAGAAGATAGCGATGTCAAGAGAAACAAGGTTAGACACTGTTCCACTCTTGTCAGTGGCTATCCATGGAGAAGAAGAAGAAGAAATTAGTGACGGAAGTTGTTGGAGTCAAGCTTTGGACCTTGAAGAAGCCAAGAATCAAATTTACTTTTCGCTTCCTATGATCATAACTAGTGTTTTTTATTACTCCATCACTTTGGTATCTGTCATGTTTGCTGGTCACCTTGGAGACCTCGAGCTCGCCGGCGCCACCCTTGCAAATTCTTGGGCTACCGTCACTGGCTTTGCTCTCATGGTAACTTTTTCCCCCTTATGTTTGTCGCTATTATTAATTGTCTACATCCAATTTAGTTTCAATTTGTTCTTTTTCAAAGAGGCGTGCCGTTCTTGTCTTCTTGCCTTCTGTTTTGTTTCGCTTTGACTGTTGCCTTTGTACTTACCTAGTTAATCGAGCTTGGAATCACTGTTGCTTTCTAGAGTAGCTAGAAAAAGTGTAACGAAACAGTACTTGCCAGTTAAGTTGTTAGTATGAACAACTATAATTATTAAGGGAAGTGATAAATTTATTAGCAGAACCTGAATATTAATTGTGTTCCAGTATTATAACTTTTACTTTATCGATACAAGGTTAGAATCTCATCCTCTTTTTATCTTCATCGTTGAAATCATTTTGACACGTGAAGAAATGATCAACTAGCTGACAATAAATATTTTTAAATATGATCTTCTTGAGAGGCTTTACCTATGTATCATTGAAATATGAGGAGACCACAAAAAGGGCCCTTTCTTGTTAAAAGAATTCATACAAAACCATATACAACAAAGTATGGGATCATGTGGTCCAATTTGTTAATCATTATTATTTTTTAAGGAAAGGGTCATAAAATCCAAACAAATTTTGTAAAATCAAAAAAGGAAGTATATAGAAAGCCATGCATGCATACACGGGCTTTTTGCCTAGTCATATGATATCTATTTAGGAAGCTGGCAATAGGGTTCATTGAATTTGGATTTGAAGCCATCACAATTTGACTGTTTAATTTCAGCAATATGCATCAAATTTTGATGAAGTCTTCAATTTGGTATTCTGCTTTGAGTGTGTTTCCAAGTGCAATGTTTTCCAAACAAGTCACGGTTCAAATGAATGAAGCAACTACACATAAGCATGCTTTTGTTTAAGTCAAGAGACAAAGTCTTGCACTCCACGAATACATTCAAAACACTTGTGTCCGAAATTGGCTGCCCACATTAGTCTTTTAGGTTGCTGAGTATTTGATTGAGTTTGGACCCAATTGGCCCATTGACCTTCATTGTCATAAAGCAATGTGCATTTGGGTTAGTCATTTTGGTTGCCTGGACAAATCATTCAGAGCAACTTCAGTCAATTTAGTAGTATGGACTATGAGAAGAGAAAGTGCATATTTTAATACGGGGTTGGAGTAAGCTATTTGTACCAAATTTGTTTGATGAAAAAATAATCAGTGATTACCTTGTCACAAGGGCGGCTTTCCAGATCCATTCTTTCTGATTTCTCTATTTTATAATAATTGAAGTCACGTGCAAATCCATATAATATAACAGTCAAATTGAGACGCGGCAAAGTGGTCCAAGAGCCAGCTAGAGATACTGCAATTTTTAGCCACCATATATTACCTCAGTCAATAATAAATTTTGAAAAAGAAAACCCCCAGAACTTGAGAATTGCTAAAAGAAGATCACGCTTTACTTGAAGTTATTGGCTGCTTTAGTATTATGGTTAGGTTGTGAAGATAAGCTTTTTACTAGAAGTGGTTGCTATGTTTTTGAGATGCAATCGATTAGATCCTTTCTTCCTACACTTCTTTATAAGAGAAAACCTTCATAAGTTTGCAAATTTGAAGTTATAACACCCTCATTCATGTATGCTGGAGTTAAAATGTTTAGTCTTTTGGTTGCTTAGAATATTATGTTACGTCCCAAATCTTATATTAAGAATTTATGAGAATTCGTTATGTGATATATGCTAGGATTTAAATTTATATTCACAAGAAGCTTTTTGTACACAAAACTGAAAATTACTTTGGTTAAAAGTGAACAATACCCTTAAATTGGGTGCAGGTCTCCCAATCATTGTACCGGAATTTATATATATCTTTGTTGGTTAAAAATTGAATGATTAGCTAACTAATTAAATTGTTGAGTTCCAGATGCATGGATTGCTCTTTTCATTTAGCAGCATGGTAGTAGCATGATTCTTCACCTTGCATAAGTGATAACATGTGTAAAATTTTATATCTTGTTCTTTGATGGTAAAATTATGTTGATTCAAGACTTTTTTGAATGTAAAAGAAGCTTGAGTTTTGACGAGATTATAACATAGTTGCCTTTCATCCTAACTTCTCAATCCACAAAATCTATTAATCATAGTTCTTCAAATCATACGCTTTAATCCAACTACAATGCCAAACTTAGTTCTAGTTGCTTACAACAAATAAATATTCCAATTCTTTTGGGGAGGTTTGAAGAAGCAAGATGCCGAAAGATTTGAACGAGTTGTCAAAATTTTTTTTTTTTAAAGCCGGTGAAGATAAACTTAATTATGCAAGCCTAAGATTCTCTTAACATGATTAGATTATGGTGCAGTATAAAATATATATAATACAACTTCAATGTAATAAAATGAAATATTATATTCTAAAGGGACCCAAAAACAGTATAATGTTTGATGTGTGTTTGTGTGTGTGTGTGTATATATGTGTGTGTGTGTGTGTCATTAACAACCATGCATAACTAGAAGGAAAGAGTATAAGGATTTGCAAACCAGAATAATGGGAAGTACATTGAATGTAGAGGTTGGTGATGGTTGTAGAGAAGGAAGAACCAAGGGAAGGTGGTGGAAAAGAGTTTTGGATTTTGGAGAAGCTAAGAAACAAGTATTGTTTGCAGTACCAATGGTCTTATCTAATCTTTTCTACTTCTGCATTACTATGGTGTCTGTTATGTTTGCTGGCCACCTTGGTGAGCTTGAGCTTGCTGGTTCTACCCTTGCCAATTCATGGGCCACTGTCACTGGTTTTGCTTTCATGGTAACTCTCGTATTTCTTTTTCTTCATTGATAGCTTTCTCACTTTTATGTTACTAATTAATCTAAGAAACATCTAAGGCATTTATAATATCTTCTAGTTAGGTGATTTTGTATTCTCCAAAACATTGTTGATGCTTGTCTTTTACTTGTAAACGGTCGTTGAAATCTTCATTTATCTAATTTGTGCCAGGAGCTCCAGTTTGGTGACTAACTTAAACAAATTTACTTTGATTCTTAAGGGTTCCTTGATTTTGTCTTTAGTACCTTATTCTGTTTCACTAATTCTTCTTTCCTGGATTGATTATTTTTTTCTTTCTGGCAAGAATTTTCCATCTGAATTTGTAATTTTTCTTCTCTGTTATTGTTTTAGACAGGACTAAGTGGAGCACTAGAGACCCTTTGTGGTCAAGGATTTGGTGCAAAAATGTACAGAATGTTGGGGATTTATCTCCAAGCATCCTGCATCATTTCTTTCCTTTTCTCTGTTATCATATCAATCTTATGGTTCTACACCGAACCGATACTTGTCTTGCTTCATCAAGATCCTGAAATTTCCAGAACTGCTGCCCTTTACATGAAGTATCTCATTCCAGGTTTATTTGCTTATGGCTTTGTACAAAACATTTTGAGGTTTCTTCAGACACAAAGCATTGTCATACCCTTGGTCTTGTTCTCTGTCATTCCATTGGGCATTCATTTTGGGATTGTGTACTCTTTGGTAAATCGGACAAGCCTTGGTTTCAAAGGAGCTCCCTTGGCAGCTTCAATTTCAATATGGATATCATTTCTTTTGCTAGCAATGTATGTCGTTTTCGCCAAGAAATTTGAAAACACATGGAAAGGATTGTCTTCTGAATCATTTCACTACATCCTCAGAAACTTGAAATTAGCCCTTCCTTCCGCAGCAATGGTTTGGTGAGTTTTCCAAATTTTGTTCTTTAATTATCTGTTCCATATGTTCAATGAATTCCTATAACTTGAACAGCAAGGCTTCTCTTCTTTTCTCATGTTCAAAATGTCCTGCTAGCTTGGAGTTCTGGGCTTTCGAGATTCTTGTGTTCTTAGCTGGATTGATGCCAAATTCAGAAATAACTACTTCACTGATTGCAATATGGTAGCCTACTCTCCTTTCTTTTCTTTCTTTTTTCATCATAAATTTTCCTGAACATGTTACCAAGCTTGATCATGGTATATGTTTTTTTCCCTTAAAATCTCCAGCGTGAATACAGAGAGCATTGCCTACATGATCACCTATGGCCTCAGTGCTGCAGCAAGGTTAGTTTTCTAGTATGGTGAATTAATTTCTTAATTTCCTTGCCTTCTAACACTGTTATAAAATATTGAGATTAGGCAAAAAACAACCTTGTTTTTGACAGCACAAGAGTATCAAATGAATTGGGAGCCGGAAATCCAAACCGGGCTAAGCATGCCATGGCGGTGACTCTCAAGCTCTCTGTCCTTCTTTCTCTTGCAGTTGTCTTGACTTTGGCCTTTGGTCATGATGTTTGGGCTGGTTTCTTCAGTGATAGCCGTTCCATAATCAAGAAATTTGCAGAAATGACCCCCCTGCTTGGCGTCTCAATAGCAATTGATGCGATACAAGGCATCTTGTCAGGTTCAAACAATCAGGATATATTTTTTTTTGGTTGCGTCCGAGGTGGCAAAATCAACCCAAACTTAAAATCCGTCCAAAAAAGTTAAAACTTAATCGAATTGATTAAAAAGTCAAACATTTGATCTCAAAAATTAAGATAAAATGATTACATTTTACATAAAATTTAAAATAGTCCTAAATTAGCTTGAGCCTGAAACGATTCGAATCTAAAATAACTAAACCCTGCCCCATTTACCCCTTGAAATTGTGATAACAATATAGATGAATGTAAAGGAGTACAAAATTTACAGATTAGTGAATTTGATGCTGCAGGGGTTGCCAGAGGATGTGGTTGGCAACATTTGGCTGTGTGGGCTAACTTGGGGACTTTCTACCTCATTGGAATGCCAATTGCAGGTGTTCTTGGTTTTAAGTTTAAGCTATATGTTAAGGTGAGGATAGTAGGATCCTAGTCAATATAATACCTGCAAGTTCTTTTTTTTTTTCTTTTTTTTTGTGTGTGTTCTGTCTCACTAATTATCCCTTTTATTGATTTGTTCAGGGATTATGGATAGGTTTAATATGTGGTCTATCGTGTCAAGCAAGCACCCTTACGTTGATTACATTGCACAGAAAATGGGCTAAGATTGATCTTCCAGAAGACAGGAATAACGAAATCTCAATTCGGGTTTAACTCACGTTTATTTAAGCAGAGGAAAAATAAAACAAGCAACGAATCTTTTACTGTCTTCTCTCAAATCTTCCTTGATACAAAATAAGTAGATTATATTGTAAATTATATCAAATTTTTACCGTGATATATCTTATTATGATAAATTTTAAATTAATATAAATTATTTATGCATAAAATTTAACAAGAATACTCATTCTACCAAAAATTTCATGCATTAATTAAAATGCAAATTTGATTTGAACGGATGATGAATCAGAAAAAGGTAGGAAAATATTTTAGTGATATGCTGATAATCTAACAAATCTCGTACGATTGAAGCATGAAATCATGTGTAGAAAAAAACGTAACACATCATAAGGACAGGACCTCTGCAGAAAGATTGTACAAATTGATCGTTAGCCTAGGCAGACTACTTTTATTATCCTTTGTACGTCATTTCAATATCCATGGTAAGCAGTTGTCTGCAAAAAGTGAAATTGTCCATTTTTTCTCTGTCAGTGCTGATTTTTATTAGATAACCAGCAACCCAGCGAAAAGAGGCGTCCCAGCCAGTACCTGAAGCCTGCAAACGCCTAGAAGGACAGTGTTCCCGTGTGCAGCACAATTATCCCCTAAGCATCATATGGTACAAATATCTGCAAGGCTGCAACCACAGGTTCATCGGAGGATACATAACAGCCACAAACATCCCCATAGGCTTAGCAGACCAACTGCCAATGACGTCACCGCTTTTTATGTCTTAAATATATAAAATTATTTTATTCAAGGTTTATCTCGAATAAATAAGACCTTTACGATTTGACCTTTTGCGTCCTTTAATTTCATTAATTCAGCTTCAAATGATAAAAGTTTCGTGTAAAGTAAGCTTCGTTTAAAGCTCGACTATAAATGCTGCCATCTGGGAGAGGGAGGCAAAGCCCATAACCTTCTTGCACAGAATCAATCAGCCTCTCCATCACGTAATCTTTCTCAAAGTTGCTTGCAAAACCAAATAACAAACTTTCCACTTCTATTTTTTGTGTTTCAAATCAAATTTTGGCAGATTATATCTGGAATCATTGACCTTGCATTAAGATTTGGTCAATAAAGTCCTACCTGCCATTCTACCTCCTTCTAATCAATCGAATATCCCAAATTGCCAACCACTAATTCTGCTATGAAGGCTCTTTAAAAGAAGGAAAAACAAACAACAGTTCCCCAAGAAGAAGGAGATAGAGTTAACATGGAATCAAACTCAAGCCTCGGCACTGCACTCTTGCCAGAGGAAAGTACAGAAACAAGCTTTTGGAGAAAAGTTTTAGATGTAGAAGAGGTGAAGAAACAGGTCTTGTTTTCTCTGCCAATGATCCTTACCAATGCCTTCTATTATGCCATTACCTTGGTCTCCGTTATGTTTGCTGGTCACCTTGGGGAGCTTGAGCTTGCTGGTGCTACACTTGCCAATTCTTGGGCCACTGTCAGCGGCTTCGCCTTCATGGTAACTCTTTCTCCCATCCTTACACAGTATGAACTTGAGCTTGACTTTTGGATTGCTCATTTTTATTATAAGGGTTGGTAATGAAATAGTGATAGCTGTGATATTTTCATTTTCTCTTTCCCTATATGGTGGAGAAATATATATATATATATATATATATATATCTCCCTTCTCCTTTCATATTCCATATTTCTGATAAAATGTTTCGAACTCCTCAAATTGGTAGGATATAATTGAAAGTGCAAAAAACACAAAAAATGAAAAATATTTGGCACAAAGAAAACAGAATCATACATATCTATATATTAGATAAAGGGTGTCTTGCTTTGATTAGATATCATTGGCAAACAAAAAAGTTTTGGAGTCCTTGATGCTGACCGTAAATGACATACGAGTTCAGATTTATTACCGTGTTTACTTCGATAGTTGGTTTCTAATTAGGACTACAGTTTTCAGACTATTAAACAGTGCTCCACTGTATACTGTGTCAAAATAATCTTTTTGTTGGCTAGTTCCAAAAACTCCATAGGTCACTGTCTATTTGTTCGGAAAATTAATGAGGTCGGTAAGTTGCAATATCCTGACACTCAGGCCTATACTATAACCTAGACTGGTCAATCATTTATTGAAACAGAGTGAAGTTGGTTACTTACATTGCAAATTAGAGGCATAAACATTTAAAAGAAGAAAAAAAAAATGAAATGATAAGATAAATACCCAGAAAATGAAAAGAGAAGGTGTGGCATTATACCATAAGGGTTCCTTTTCCCAAGGTAAAAAGCAACGGTAAGAAGGAGCAATGAGATAGAAGAGGTAGGTGAACGAGAGAAGGTTGTTGAGGAAAAGTTAGGTGCCATGTGTGTAAATAATTATAGACTTGCAGGTGATATGGATTTGGTTGCTTACTGACTTAGACGGACAAATTTGGGTCATTTGGGGAATGGTTTGTATTTATAAGTTGAGGGTTCAGTTATACAATTTTGTTTGTTCCTGTATGGATATATAGGATAAGCTTGCTGTGGTATGGTTGGCTCTGACTAAAAGGTACTTATTCACCTCAAAATATTTGTAGAAATAATAATTCTGAGATCTGCCCTGTATCTGACTAATGTGGAAAGCATATTCGTTTGTGTACTAAACTTGAAAATTTTATAGTGAATTGAAGCCTAATGGTCACTGGCTTTGTCTCTAATTAATTAGTATAGTACCTCAATTCTGTTTAATTCCCGGGCAAAAAAATAAATAAATTTCAAGAATCTGTCATTTGGATTTCCATTCAGGAAGGCTTAATTTTCTGTTTAAACAGTCCTTTTCATTTTTGTTCCTGCTTTTAGATAGGACTAAGTGGAGCATTGGAGACTCTTTGTGGTCAAGGATTCGGTGCCAAAACGTACAGAGTGCTGGGGATTTACCTACAAGCTTCTTGCATAATTTCTTGCTTTTTCTCAGTTATAATATCCATTATATGGTTCTATACAGAGCCAATACTAATCTTGCTTCATCAAGAGCCTCAAATTGCGAAAAAAGCTGATCTCTACATGAAGTACCTCATTCCAGCTGTGTTTGCATTCGGTTTTGTACAGAATGTTTTGAGATTTCTTCAAACACAAAGCATTCTTATGCCCCTAGTCCTGTTTTCAGGGCTTCCATTCGCCCTTCATTTTGGCATTGTGTACACTTTGGTTCACTGGACAGGTCTTGGTTTCAAAGGAGCTTCATTGGCTTCTTCAATCTCTTTATGGATATCATTAATCCTTTTGGCAACCTATGTAGTTTGTTCAAAGAAATTTGAGCACACATGGGGAGGTTTTTCATCCGAATCATTTCGCCATATCGTTACAAACTTGAGATTATCCCTACCATCTGCAGCAATGGTTTGGTGAGTTTTCCAAATTTGGATAATTTTCTTTCTTCTCTATAACAAACATACAGCTCCTTTAATGGAAACATTTCCCATTTTGCTAAAGACACAATTCTTTTTCCTTTAACAAAGTCAAATTTGAATCCTACTTTAAAATCTTTTGGATTCTTGGTGTTAGTCCTATACCAAGACAGAGCAAACAAGCTAAGGAAAACCAACTACCCAATCAGCAGTCAGCATTGCCTTGTAATTAATATTTATAGCAGACCACATTTAAAGGAGGCAAAGGAGCTTGGAATTGGAATCTGGACACCCAGACAGCCTTATGTTATTAACCCCTTTTTTTGTTTTATGTTTGGCCAGTCTGGAGTATTGGGCTTTTGAAATCCTCGTCTTGTTAGCAGGATTGATGCCAGATGCTGCTATAACTACTTCAGTGATAGCAATGTGGTAGGATTCCATTTTTCTTTTTGTTTGGTTTTTTCACATTATTTTAGTTTTAATGGTGGAGTCTTTCTCCTGCTGTGACCAGCGTGAATACAGAAGCCATTGCTTTCAATTTTACTTATGGCCTTAGTGCTGCAGCAAGGTTAGTTTGTATAAAAGTTTGCTAATATTTTTCATTAATCTCTAAAGCTATTGGAATTGAGAAAAATGAAACCTGTTTTGACAGCACAAGGGTGTCAAATGAGTTGGGAGCAGAAAATCCTGGCCGAGCTAAAACTGCTATGGCTGTGGCTCTCAAGCTGGTTGTCCTTCTTGCTCTTGTACTTGTCCTTGCTTTAGTCTTTGGTCATAATATTTGGGCGGGTTTCTTCAGTGACAGTACTTTAATAATAAAAGGCTTTGCCTCAATGACACCATTGCTTGCAATCTCAATATCAGTAGATTCGTTTCAAGGTGTTCTATCAGGTTGGAAACCTTCCAAGTTTCAATTCTAGCAATCTTTTTGTACATTGACTATCAAATTGTGTCCTTTAGAAGTTCTAAATTCATGATACCAGTGGCTTTGATGTTGCAGGGGTGGCAAGAGGTTGTGGTTGGCAGCACTTGGTTGTAGTTGCTAACTTAGTAACTTTCTATGGCATTGGCATGCCAATTGCAGTCCTTCTTGGATTTAAGTTTAAGCTTTATGCTAAGGTGAGGAAAACATCATCCGAGGAAAAAAAAAATTATAAAAACGAAAGATACATCAGGAAATTCTGTTTTCTCTTTTTTGCTTTCTTCTCTTGATTTATTCCTTTCCTTGATTATCTTGTGCAGGGTTTATGGATAGGCTTAATATGTGGCCTCTCTAGCCAAGCTGCCACCCTCCTGTTAATTACATTTCGCACCAGATGGACTAGGATTGATCTTTCAGCAGAAAGAGAACAGGGTACTCTAGATTCTGTTTAAACATATCTCCCTGGAAAGGTGAAACAAGAACAAGAGGTTACTTGGATAGGCAACAAGGCAAGAGGTGACAGTAAATTTTTTGCAGAGGCAATCTTTGAGTCTGAGAAGCTGTAATTATTTGAAGAAGCTTCATTCATTGTTATCTTGCTGGTTAATGAAGCTTAACTACAATCAAGTTTGATATGGGAATCGAAAATGTCTCCAAAATTTTTAGCTTCAAAATTTATGATAACAAATATTCAACAAAAGATTGAGATTGGAAAATTAGAACTCACCCCCAGAATAATATTTTTA